TCAAATAAGTTTGTCATATATGAATTTTCCCTTATCTAATCGATATACACATCCAAATCACCTCTCTCCCACTCTTTGCCCTTTCTCGCTTGCATCTCTCCTCCCTCTCCCTATCTCGCTTGCCTGTCTCCTCTCTCTCCCAATCTTGCTTGTCATATATACAATTGCATATATATAACATACAACAATATAACCAATATACATATACAATTTAGGGAAAATTTCATATATGGCAAACTTATTTGATTAAATAACATTATATGGATATAGTTTACCTAATTACATTATATGAGTATAGTTTAGTTATTAAAGGTGTCTTTAATTTTGTATATAAATTTTTTTTATTTATTTATACAATTCTATTTTAAAAAGTTGTTTGTAACTGAAGCATTAAATATGGTAACAATAAATCAAGATAATGCCACAATTTTAGGGAAACGTCCCTTTTTTTAAGCTAAACGTTCAAATTCAAAAAAAAAATTCATACAGCCATTGAAACAAAAAAAATAATTATTTTTTTTGCTCTTTGTGAAACTGAAGTTCAGCAGTTTTTGCAATCGAATACTAATAAAAGTTTTTATTCGATGAAATTTCTTGTTTATTATTGCAATAACTATACAATGTTAAATTGGATTTAGAAATTGTGAATTGTTTTCGGTCGTTGGATTTAAAAAAAAAATCAAAATATGATTTTGTTAAGCTGAATTTGTGTTCATTCGTTAGTGTGATGTGGTTTTTTTTTTAAAAAAAAATTCAAAATATGATTTTGTTAAGCTGAAATTTTGCAATATACAATTATATATTGTTCATGTAATTGTATATGTTATTCGCAGTATTTGTATATTTTGTAAACGACAATATTTAATCAGTGTTCATAATTGTATATATTCATAAATCATGTGTTTTATTTGTGATAGAATTATATACTATTGTAGATGTAGTGTTTATATATCAAAAAGAATAATAGTATAAAATTTCTATGTCATACGATTTATTTTTGGAAGAAGTATACACTATTGTAGATGCAGTGTTTGTATATTAAAAAGAATAAACATGAATATATTAGTTAAACATGATATTAT